TTGCCTGCCGATAAAGATTTTTGCCATTTTCGGTTTTCTTTCTAAGAACTATAATTGACAGCACATACAAACAAAAATCTACCTTTTTTTCAATGCAAAACAATTATTTACATAATAAAAGAAATTATTAAACATTAAAATTCTCTCAATCTGGTCTAAGTTACAGATGTTCTCTCACTTAAACAACTCTCAAAATAAAGTGATCTGTGACTGGAAAGAGGTAGAGATAACAATTAACTGAAAATAAGTTGCTGTATGTAACAAAACAGATGTCATTTCCCACTATGTTTATAAATGGAAATTTTCCCCTAACCTTATTAAATGTGTTATCTTTCACATCAAATTCTTACTTTGTTTCAATTAATTCAGTTAGAATAATAAGAAACTGTAAAGTTGTTACCATTCAAAAGAAATTAGTATTAACAAACTCTTATCTTTCCACTGCTGAGGAAACAAAAGCTGCATCTGAAGTGGCATTAGATGTATTTACACAGACAGTTTGATGAAGCTGAGGTGCCATAAATGCATTTACAACGTAAAATTTCAAATGCATAACTAATTTGATAAGATTGTTTTACATATTTTTTTAAACATACAAATAAATGTTGAAAAAAATGCAATGATACTTTTGAATACGACTAAACCACCAGTAGGTGGCGGCAAATGTCTGTTTTAATGAGTGAGTCATTTATTCATTCATTCAACCGATTCATTCAAACGGCTGATTCATTCAGAAATGAGGCAAGTGACTGGGCTGTCAAAAAAAAATCGAATTTCGAATATTCTTCGAATTTAAAATAAAATGACAAATTCGCAGCCAATGAGACGCCAAGATACAGGGCAGAGGGAAGTTCGGGTAGGAGACCAGAATATCAGTATTTTAATAGATATATGAACAATTATATAATACAGAAACAAGCACAAACATTTGCTTGACCAGCCACAACATCAGCATAACAGTTACTGCAAAATTATTTATCTCCAACTCTCTTTGCAGAACACCCAATCCCTGTTCCCTGCATCTCCCTCCTGCATAATCTGTTTTTCTTTTTCTCCTTGTAGCTGGAAATCAGCTCACAGACAATTTGCAGGCTATATATATATATTTAAAATAATTACAGTCTTGCTCGCGAGAACTCCGGTCTGACGCACGCGGGTTCTCGCGTTATTTCCTTATCACTTCTCGCGTGTGTTTTGTTGTGAAGCGTAGTTTGCGGACCAGACAGAGCTGTCGGCGATTCTTCCTATTGTGAAGTCATGCAGTGTGAAACCCCCTGTCGCCGATCCATCGTTTAATGTGAACACAGCAGCAACTGAATGCTACCCCAGATAGTCACGCAGTGTGAAAACAACGGCGATCCGACGAGTTTGAAAATCGTGCAGTGTGAACTCGGCATAAACGAAACACCGCTGTATGTTGCTCAGAGCAGTGTTGCCAAGTCCGCGGTTTTCCCGCGGAATTGGGCTACTTTAACACTGTTGCCGTGGGTTGTTTTTCATGGGTTGAAGCGACTCCAATAACATGATATGTATCCCCTGGAATGCAAATTTTAGCAGGGGAACCCTGCCAAAAAACGTGTATTTTACCCCATTGCCGGCGCCGCTGGTAATAAAAGGATCGGCTCGGAATCGGCAAGACGTGACTGCGGTCAAGCCAGCCGCCACTCCGAAATGCACGGTAAATCTAGCCGCCGCACTGTTTTTCTGTGCGCGCATATACTGTGCATTACGACGATCTTCCGCCGGTCTTTCGCGTGCATTCACTCGGACAGTTTTTTTATTTATTTACTTTTTTTTAGTGCTTAACTTGTACATGCAAACCAGAACAGGGAAATAAGACATTGTTCTGTCTCTTATAAATCACTTCACTCAGCCAGTTTATATGTCAAAATTAATGAAGAAATTCGTATATTAAAGAAAAAGTTAGTGATTTAATCAACATAAATGAAAATAAAACATGCAAGTATTACAAAAGATTGGGCCCGATAACCTGAAAATGACTTGAAATGTTGGGTAATATATACCAATAAGTAAAACTAATTAGTCTTTAAATATGTCATAAACTGATTCTTGTTGTAAATATGCCTGACAAGATTGTTACACTGAATGACATTTTAGTGGCTGTTTTCTGTAAATCATGGTAAAAATGTATGCTATTTATTTTTTGTGCAGAAAAACACTATTTAATTGAACAGGACACTTTCTAATGTATTGAAAAACAACAATTCAAAGCCTTATTGTTTTGATGCTTAAAAACCCTTTTTCATCTTTGACCCATATACAGCAGGGCTGCCTGGAAATATAGGTACCATTGAATTATTAACCAGGAATGTTTTCCGTGGCCCCATGATGAGGGGGCCCACTTAGGTCTTCTCAACTCATTTACATTATTTGGTTATCTTATAATGATGTATAATTTTTTTGTCTCCCATAAGAATTGAAGGCATGGAAGACGAGCCGCCCTCCAGAAAGGCGGAGGAGGGTAGTTCATCTAAGCGGTCACAGAGGCAGGAGGAACGGCAGGGGAAACTTCCAAGGAGACGCAAAGAAGTGAAGAGGTCTCTTCGGAGGCCAGACTGTCCAGAACACCTGTCGGGGGGAAGCGTACATTGGTTGCCTGAGCATCCCGGATCAGAAGCTTCTGCATCAGTGGAGGACACTGCTGAGAGTTGCCTAAAAAGATGGGATAGATGCAGGTACAAAACACACCATTTGGTTTAGACCGGTTGAACCCTAAAAATAAAAATGTGCAGTGATTTAAGTGCCTGTTTGTTGCAGACGAGGGCACTTTCTACATGGACCATATCCTGCTACTCACTTTGGACCCAAAGCTTGTGTTCTTCCCAACCCAACCTCAGTCATGTAAGTAAGCAAAGTCAGGCTCACGTTTGGTAAGGGGCTAGGTCACATCCGTCTCTTGTTACTGTTTAAACTTTAAGTCAAGCAAAGGATTGGACAAGTGTGGCGATAAGGCTGTGTGTGCTGAGTTCTGATTTGTTGAGTGTGGCTTGTTGGATGAAGCTGGAGAGCAGCGCAATCAGGCACCGCTGTTGCTGTCACAAGAGTGGTCCTGCTGGAACTTTCTAAAAAAAAAAGCCCCCCAGCACTATGCCTGTTTTATGCCCCCCCAGGACAAACCACATGCAGAGGGTAATGTGGGGTTTATGGTTTGATATCTGACGTTGTGCTTAACATGTTGTTTAGATGGAATGAGATATGTTAGTTATTTCATTTTCTGTATGTTTCAGATCAAGAAAGATGATTAGAGTGAGTCTCTAAAAAAGACTTTTTCTGGATTTCATGCAACGATAAAATTTAGAAACTTTGTGGAGTTATAGAAAAAGCTAGCTGTTGGACTTATTCCAACAGCCAGTTATTCCTTGGTACAATAAATAAGACAGCTATTTTTTATTAATTTATGAATACTGAAAACGATCTGATCCTAGAACTATGAGAAACCAAAAGCAGAAGTCTACATTACAGTGCTTTCCAACATTTGACCATGACTTGCGTTGCGTAAAGAGTGTAGAAACAGAACAAAGTACATGCCGTTTTGCTTTGCTCCGAGTGCAGTGCTGACACGTACTATGTTTGCCTACTCTGTCGCCTTTCCTCGCAGGCACATTCAGGATCCAGCCAGCCAGCGGCTTACCTGGAGCAAACCACCGCTCAATGTCCTGGTCATCAGAAAGATCCGAGATGAGACCCTTCTGGAGCCGTTCAGAGAGCTTTGCAGGTTCCTCGTGGAGGTAGGTTACACAAAAGCAACATTAGTAGTTGATTTACAAGCTAGGAAGTTACAGGCGCCCTTTCATTTTCATTGTTTTCATTGTTACCCTTTCATTTTTTTTCACTGTATCATTAGTTTTATTTTTTTTTAATTTGGATACACAAATACTTACACAATTATTTCCACCATCAGGAGAAACATCTGATGGTTTATGTGGAGAAGAAAGTTGTGGACGATGGCTCTCTCATGAGGGATGACTCATTTTCAGCCATTCGCAATCAGCTGTGCACATTCAGGGAAGGTGCTGAAACCTCACTGTGTTATCGGCAGGTTCACCTGTAACATGATTTACATAACCCTGACACACCATTAACCAATGAAGGATTGGGTGCATTAGGAAAATGAGTGATTTATCATTGTGTTCACACAGGGTTTGATGACATCTCGGACTGCATCGATCTGATTATTTGTTTGGGTGGAGATGGGACTCTTCTGTATGCATCATCTCTTTTCCAGGTATTCTCTCATCTCATCTTATCTCATTTGTTTGTGCACAAGAGTCTCCTACTAGGTCAGTCTCATCTGCTTTCCATTGGATGTTCTCTGTGTGCATCATATAATTTGAGAGAATTTGAATATGCAAAAGTGAGTTGTTTAGAGATTTATTTAAGAGTGAAATGTGGTTTTGTTTTATTTGTTTAAGGGCAGTGTTCCCCCGGTCATGGCCTTCCATCTGGGCTCCTTAGGATTTCTCACACCATTCAAGTTTGAGTCTTTTAGAACAGAGGTGGATAAAGTGTTTGAAGGTAGAGTGATTGAGAGTTTTTTATTTTTTATCTCTGAAACCAGAAGAACTGTAGTTGTTGTGCTTTAGATGTTTATGTTGTTTTATATATTTGTGTCTGGCTCCTGTAGGTAATGCTGCCATCATCCTGCGCAGTCGTCTAAAGGTTAAGGTGGTGAAAGGCACGTTCCAGAAGAACGAGCAGCTTCTCAGTGCTCAGGAGAACGGAATATTGCCTCATAACCACATAAACAATGAGGCAGGCAAAATCACACTACAGTTACAGGTAACGCAGCACTCACAAAGTATTTGTTGAACACAAAACCAGTGACATTTGTGAAATGGAGAAATCAAAGAATCAAAATACTGGGCCTGAGACAAAGTCTGTCTTTGTTTGCCAACACGTTTTGGCACACAGGCCTAACAAATTCTAAGCAAACACAAACACTGAAAAAAATTTAACTTGCAAGCCACCAATAAGGACGTTGGACAAATCTGATGGTGTGGCAACCAATCACATGACATTCTAAGGGAGAGCCCATAAAATAAGCTTATGGCCTCTTTTGATTAAAAGTGACAGTAAATGTATAGATTTACAGTATTACAAAAGATTTCTGTATCAAATAAATGCTGTTCTTTTGAGTTTTCTATTCATCCAAGAATCCTGAAAAAAAAAAAATGTTGGTTGAACATAAGAAACTTCTTTCAAAAAAAATGTGTAAAAATCTTACTGACCCCAAACCTTTGTACGGTAGAGCACATGTACATACAGACATATACATGAATGTACATATTGTTTACAATGAGTATATCATTTATTAGCTTAAAAAATGTACAAAATGTATTTTATAAAACGGATAGTTCCGGTCTTTGATTCTGATTGGTTGAGCCGCATTCAAAGCTGTTGTAAATTACTCTACAAACATACACCTTTGCTTACTTCTGTGTGTTGCTCGGCAACCACAACTGTTTCTGAGGAACTACATTGTTTGGTGGAAGAATACTGTTTTTATTAATATCCTTATACTTTATTTGCTCTGTTTTATTCTGTGAAACCTTACTACGTATATGGAATAACTGTTTTATAAAACTCCGCTTCGTGTCGTGCCTAACAACGCTCCTTAGCTGTTATATATTCACTGTAAACCACGGCTTCTTGGGGCTTATTGCTTTATTAGAATTCAGCACTCTCATATACATTACAGTAATAACAAAATTATGTTAGGATTGAGGAGACATGAAGAAAACTAATGTAATAGATGCGAGATATTAAAATGTTGCACAAGAAAAATGCCTGAATGTCTGCCCAGTAAGGGCACTCTCAGAATATTATTTCATGGAAAAAATCCATCAAGACAATTTAGAGACCTTTTCCATGGTAACAGACATAATGGAGTTATTTGAAAATAACAACTGTGATAGGTCTGAATGTCCAGTTGCCATAGCAATAACATAATGTCATTGACAGTCTGCGTTTTTACGTGCGAGATATTTTAGACCAGAGTGGCATGTGATAAATACAGAAATGTTTTGTTCTGGTTCTGTTTGTTGGATGCTTTTATGTGTAATTCTGTGATATGGATATTATGTGTGTGTATAAAGGTGCTAAATGAGGTGGTGGTGGACAGAGGGCCTTCATCCTACCTGTCTAACGTCGACCTTTACTTGGATGGACGCCTCATCACATCTGTACAGGGAGATGGTGAGCGCAATCATATGCTTCAGCTACAAACAGCACTGATAGATCCCTTTTTATCTTGTCACCATTGTGCAAGCCACTTAAAAGGGGTCTGGTTAAGGGTTTTTCAGAATGTAATTAGTACTTTTAATCAGCAAGGATGCTTTAAATTGCTGAAAAGTGACAGTAAAAACATCTATAATGTTACAAAAGATTTCTATTTGACATGAAATGCTGTTCTTTTTAACTTTCTATTCATGACAATAAGTATGACCGTTTCCACCACAGAAATATTAAAGGGATAGTTCACCCTTCACCCATGGGAAAATGAAAATTCTGTCATTAATTACTCACCCTCATGTCGTTCCAAACCCGTAAGACATTCTTTCATCTTCGGAACACAAATTAAGATATTTTTGATTAAATCTGAGAGCTCTGACCCTGCATAGGGTCATAAAATAGTCCATGTGACATCAGTGGTTCAATTGTAATTTTACGAAGCTATTATGGAGTGTATCACGACGCATGCACATTACTTTCCTCTGCATGTAAACAAGGCTCAGTGCATGCGTGTTCTACTGTATGTCAGCAGCATCACATGCATGCGTTGTTTACGTGCAGAGGTACTCTCAATAATGGTGGAAAACATGATTTGGAGAAGAACTGTTGAATAAAGTCGTTATTTTTGTTTTCTTTGCGCACAAAAAGAAGCAGCTTCGTAAAATGATTGAACCACTGATTTCACATGGACTATTTTAATGACGTCCTTACTACGTTTCTGGGTCTGGGAACATTTGAGTTAGATTTCTCTCCATGCAGGGTCAGAAAGCTCACGGATTGAATAAAAAATATCTTAATTTGTGTTCTGAAGGTGAACGAAGGTCTTACGGGTTTGGAACGACATGAGGGTGAGTAATTAATGACAGAATGTTTATTTTTTGGGTGAACTATCCCTTTAAGCAGCACAATTGTTTTCAACATTGATGATAATAATAAGAAATGTTTCTTGAGCATCAAATCTGCATATTGGAATGATTTCTGAAGGATCATGTGACGAGTAATGGCTGATAAATCTCAGTTTGCTATGACAGGAATAAATGACATTTTAAAATCTATATAGATATCAAATTGAAATCAGTTACAAGTAGTAATATTTCACTGTATTTACTGTATAACAAATAAATACAGCCTTGTTGAGCCTAAGAGACATCGAAAGCATTAAAACCTCTTCTCGACAACAGACTTTATAGCATGGCTTTGATTTTTATTTTTAAAATGATTAACATTTTAGATTGGCGTCATTATCTGAGTGCTTGATCTTTTTTTTTCCTAATAGCTCTAGCAGATGCATCAGTACATTATGGTCTTTTCATCTGCTTTGACAAGAGAGTCCAGCTGCCATGAAAATAAATGCAAATATGTGGCGTGTTTCTATGCAGGTGTAATAGTTTCCACCCCCACGGGCAGCACAGCCTATGCTGCCGCAGCGGGAGCTTCCATGATCCACCCTAATGTCCCTGCCATCATGGTCACCCCCATCTGCCCTCACTCCCTCTCTTTTAGACCCATCGTGGTGCCCGCAGGAGTGGAGCTCATGGTGAGAACGGGACTGAGGTTTTTCCATTTCTGTGATGAAACTGCATCTGCCAAATGAAAGAGTTATTTGTTAAACTTAGGTTTTATTTATTTATTTCCTTCAAATGAGAGCTTCAGAAGAACATTTGTTTGCACTAACTGTATTTACCCTGCAGATAACGCTGTCGCCTGATGCTCGCAACACAGCCTGGGTCTCGTTTGATGGCAGAAAGAGGCAGGAAATCCAGCATGGGGACAGGTGACACTCTTTTTACACAATCCCATAAGCAAACAGTTTTGACCTCTCCCATAATCCAGTGCTACAACAATAGCTGTATTACAGTTATGGAAATGAGCATCAACAGTTGTCAAACCGAAGTAGTTCGTCAAAGAATATTGTAGCCTCCTTGTGGCGGGACAGGATGTTGCATTTTCAAATCCTTATTTCTAAAGCCATTATCTGTTTAGTTTAATATTTAATACTCTAAGCTGTGATCTTTTTATTTACAGATGCATTGTATGTTTTGCATTTCTCAAGAAATATTTCTGGCAGTGCAAGGTCCTATCATGTCATTGCATAAGAACTTAGTATAGCTGAATGTATGTTAGCTGTTTACGGTTTGATGTAAATAAGAGATCCTATGATGTGTGTTTGTCTCATTTGTAATATTTCAATAAAAGTTTTTTTATCTTGGATGTTATCTTTTGTTTTTGTCGTTTGAAATGTATCCTTATGTATTTTAGGGCTTTATAACCTGTTGTATTTACTAATGCAACAATGTTTGCAGAACAATGGAAAATAAATTGTATTAAAAAAATGAATAAATTGCTTTTGTGAAATACTTTATAAAAACGGAAAGCATCAATTTTGTGATGTTTTTCAACAAAACAATGCAAATTGCTTGTGTTCTATATTTTTATTGCAATGAAAGGATACAGATATAGTTTCTGACAGACACTTAAATTATTCTCCAGATATTGCAAAAACACAGTCCTCAACATTGATCCAAATACGGACAATTAGTTGAAGATGCTGACCACATAAAAAATTATGGGATTTCAGTTAATTTTTTAGAAATGATGTAACACTACATTTTATGACAGACAGCCAATGGCAAATTAAATTTCCTGCCAATTAAAAAAATAATAATCTGGCATATCAGCATCTTTATCTCAAAGACATTGGGACAGAAAACAAAGGTGAGTGAAGTTCCATAGAAAGAAAATACAGATATAGACACACACATGGTGTCATGCCCAGTCTATCCAGGTCTTCAAAGTCAATGACAGAATATTGAGGACATACATAGTATTTCTACAGGAACACTAAGTGTGACCAACAAGATCATCTACTTACAGACATGGTTAAAAGATTCTTAGCATTTGAAGAAGAAAGAGAGATGTTCACTGGGGCACGAGGGGTTTCCCTGCTCCTTGTGAACTTGAGATGACCTTGAATTTTGAGGGATGCTTTAACAAGGGTTCTCAGTTTTTTAATATAGAAAAACCACTTTTGCAGCCTCTTGTGCGCATTTGATAACCACTAGAGTCAAAGCATTGCAGATGAGCAGATGTTTTCAGCATTCTAACTCGAATACATTGTCCAAAAACAATCTTTCCATCATCGAAAACATTTACTGGTGGTTTTAGTATTTGTAGAAAATGCAGTAAAATGAAAACCTGCGTGTCTGACACTATAAAATAGAGTACAGTTCCTGTTGAACCTGAACTGCTGGCATGAACATCTCTGGTAGATTTATAGAATCCATATATAAATGATACATTTGTATTTCATCTCTTAAATATCATCCTCAGTATGTCAAAAAAAAAAAAAAAACAGCTAATGTAAAATAATACTAAAGCCAATAGTATGCAACCCTACGGAAGGATAGTATTGGACCTCGGCCCTATTAAAACGCAAACTAACTAACAGGCTATTTTGGACCACAGCCCCTCGGGGAAGTACGATTTGTCAACCTCAGCGTTTGAAGACCAGATGAGAAAACCAGAGGCATGGATGTGAGCTACGGCATGACATGTTTTAACTATTTCTCTGGAAGTTGGTCAGAATTTGAATGTATATGAAAAAAGCATCAATATCCTGCATCATTTGGCACAAATGTGGATGTAGTTTCCCCTTGTGAACGCAGTCGACCTCGCGAGACTCAAATGGAGTTTGGTTTTAAATAACTTGCCTACTTCAATCAAGGATACTGCTCGGATTTATTAACTTGTCCGTTTCCGATAACAAGGACTATTTCTCATCAGGGTCACAAAAGGTGATTGCAGAAATGTATGAGGCAGACCGTGTCACAAGTCCACAAAAATACAGCTCTTGTTTCAAACCAAGCAAGATCTCCCAGATTTCCACACAGAAATGTCACAGGCCAAGTGCCATTGATATTTATGATAGAAAGTAACATTTATTAGGTATCTAAGACAAAATATATTGGTCCGTCCAAATTATCCAACGCATCTAACGGTACAAAAGAAAAGAAACGAAAAAGAAAACTTCCAGATTTGAATTTCTCTCACTAGATTGGACAGCGAACCTTCATATGTGGGTGAAACTGAAAAACCATTGTGAAAGTTCACCAATCCACTACTGACGTGTTTATACAGCAAAATACTTAGATAAAGCAAAGATGAAAGAAAAACACGGGGGTCAGGGAGACTTGCAGTTCTTGCATCCATAGTGGGGGAAGCATTTTCAGGGGAACCAAACAGCCTTTGCGATATTTTCCATTGTCATCATAGCCATTTCCTGCTCTCGTTTAATCTTTAAGTCTGTCTGTTTGCACAGAGGAAGATCTCAGCCTGAACAGAAATGGGAAACATCTTCCGAACATGACAGAAGTACGTCAGCAGGTCCACATGGAGCATGGGAGTATGTGTGCGGCGTGAGGAAAACATTTATGTCTGAACAGTCAAGGGCTTTGTCTCACTGTGCTCTTCCTCGTCTTCTTCCTCCTCTTCCTCTGTATGCTGCTCCAGCTCTTCTCTGGTGATCATTTCAAAGTCGTTGCCATTGCTGTGCTGCGACCCTTCATCCTCCCGTCTGTCACTGTCCGTGTCCGACTGACGTTCTGCGCCCGCTTCCTCGCTCGCCTCCATTTCTTTATTGTCGTTTTCATCCTCTTCCTCATCGTCGTCTTTCTTCTCGCTGTCCGATTTGTCCTCGCTATCTGATTTCTGCGCTTTGCTTGAATCCTTGTTGTCGGATTTCTCGCTGCTGGATTTCTTGGAGCTGGAGTGCGGACCCTTGTATTCGTGCGTGTAGATGGGGCGGAAGGAGTCGATAAAGCCCACGTCAGCTGTCAAGTTGGGTAGGAACCAGAAGTGATGACGGCCGCCGGTCACTAGCCAGATAATCAGGAACAGGATGCAACGAGCTGAACCAAAGGGGAAACCAGAAATAAGATGAGAAAAGACAGAAGATGCGGTGTCAATGGACTGTAATGTGAAATATTGGTATAATACAAGATCGAAAAGTCTAGAGCTCATACCGACGGCCAGGAGAAGTATGCTGGCAACGAAGCAACCTGCTGCCACGCTCAGGTAATACACACCAACTCTCATCTCAGCGGGCCACAGCGGGAACAGAGTGGCTGCGATGACGGCAATGACTGCAAACACACACAGCTCTGAATCAGTACTGGAGCCAGAGAAACGACAGTCAGGCTAAACTGGAGAAAAAAATCCCACCTAGAATCAAGCCCATGGCAAAGGTTTTAAAGTGGACTGGATCGTAAATCCAAAAATAAACCTGTAGGGAAGAAAAATATTATAACTTTTTAATTAGAACAAAAAGCACTTCATTTTTGAAGATAATATTTTAATAATCACAACAACAATAGTTACAATACTCGTTATAAAATTATATAAAAATAATCTTATATTATAATACTCAGGTTGGCTGGGTTAAAAAAAACCATCAGTGTTTAAAAATAATTATACTTATATAATGACATAAAATTATTATTATTATTAAAAATAAATGTAATTAAATAAAATTATTATTAGGGTACCAGGGTTGAAATAGTTCAATAAGGCTAAAAAGATTACAAATAATTTTAGGTAATTGAAATAAAGCTGAAATTAAATAAAATTAGTGCTGTCAAACGATTAATCGCATCCAAAATAAAAGTTTTTGTTTACATAATATATGTATGTGTACTGTGTATACTTATTATGTATATATAAATACACACACATGCAGGTATATATTCAAGAAAAATATGTTATATTTGTATATTAAATTTAATTATATATAAATTATATAAATATATACATGTAAATATTTTCAAAATATATACTGTATGAGTGTGTATTTATATATACATAATAAATATACACAGTACACACACATATATTATGTAAACAAAAACGTTTATTTTGGATGCAATTAATCATTTGACAGCACTAAATAAAATCCAAATATTAGATAAACTATAAACCTAAAAAAGAAAATCTACACAAAAATTAGAAATGTTGATTTGTCAACTAAAAAAAGTACATGTTTAACTTGAAGCACTAAAATTACTAAGAAATAAGTAAAAACATTAACATTTACAGAAGAACATACAAAATTACTAAAACAAAATTAAAATGAAAACTGAAATATAAAAAATAGAAGCTAATTCAAAATATTACTAAATATTATAATAGTACATAATATCAAAGTAACACTATGCTACCCCTGTGCAGTATTGTTTAGAAAACCTTAATGTTAATCATACATTTTATTATTTGATTTCATTTTCAATGTGGAGAAAATACTATTACATAAAGTGTATGCATATTAAGGTTACACTGTATGCAATGTAAAGCAGACAATCAAACCCTTCTTTGCAGTTACTTTTATGACAATTAATCATCAAATAAAAAGGTATGAAATTTACAAGCAACCATGAGATATGGTTTTCTAAAGTCATCCTGACCTCATTGCCATCCAAGAACAGTTGGTCCTCATGAGGTTCCAGCTTGAATTTCTTTTTCACATCCTTCTTCTTCTTTGGAGATCCTGGACTGTCATCCTAAACATACAGAAACAAGAGTTTAAAAACAGAAATTATGATATGCACATATTCAAAAAATACCACAAGTGGAACAGAATGTGTTTGTGTTTTCTCATCCCATCAGATGATCTAGTCATACATTTTTTTCCTTCTTTGTGTCCGTAGCCTCAGAGTCCTTCTTTTTGTCTTTGTCCTTTTTGCTTTTTTTCTCCTCTTCTTTGCCGCTGTCACTTTTAGCCTTATCTTTTTCTTTCTCTTTTTCCTTCTCTTTCTTTACATCTTTCTCTGGCTTCTTCTTCATCACTTTCAGGGCTCGGTGGAA